AAGCCTTTACCACTTTGTATTCATTAGCTACGTTTAGCAACAGTTCTGCTTCATCATCAGTCCAAACAAAATTCCTTCTTTCTCTCTTTTCGACCTTCCTTAGTACTGCTTCGCCTCGACATACTCTAACCTCTTCTTTTCCAGTTTCCACACATGGTTTGAAAACGCAATGAGTACAGTTTACATGTAAACAAACGTAAACGGAGTTACAAAATGGAAACTCGATATGCGTTTACTTGACTGAAAACGCAGTAGTGGCTATGTGTAAACGTGGCCTTATACCAGAACATGTGAAGATGATAGTTTTTTTTGCAAGAAACATGAAATAACTGTCACTCCTTTGAAAATACATTAAAATTGAATCTGTTAAAATGTGTTCAATATTGGCAATTATCGCAACTAAAACTTTAGATATAATCAGATATAATCGTATGCATAAAGTTTCAGTCTCGCACAACCCTACTTGTACTTCTACTTAAATACGTTTATATGCACTTCACCCCATCCCAGGTGGTAACACACTTTAGAGTGTACCCTTTTCTTACAAGGATTCCTCATACTTCTATTGACAAAAGCTCGCCAACTACCTCTTGTGGATGACTTTAAATCAGCTGCACATGAATAGGTCATAACTGATGTATTTGTTCCTTGCTCATCACAAACTGTAACTAATAAAACACAAAAATTCTATTTCACTGTAACTCACAGGTACACAATTAATGCAGTACAATGCGAAAAAAAGGGAAGTAGCTACTCTTCTTTTGCATAGGTAGCTCACTGCTCCTTTGTTGCACATGCGCAAACTCACCAGTAGTAGTAGTGCACATGGTCAGCAGCATAACAGTAACTCGATGGTGAATAAAGCGAAGAGCCTCCTAAACGGCCTTCAAAAAGCAGAGAGCAGCAGTAGAAATGAACTTATAGAGCAAAGACAGCCAAGAGAAGCATCCTCAGGTCCTTTGAGAGCCTCTAGAGCTCGTGAGCGCTTGCTACTACAAAACATGTGACTTGGTGGTACCACAGTACTTCCTGGGTGTAGCGCAGTGAAGAGTAACGAAGAGTAGCAAAAGTAAAATTACCACCTACACACTACCTGTGTACTACTTATGCTACTTAGCTTTTTTTTGCCTTGTACTGTATGAGTTATTGCTTTGTAAAATGTGGTGTGGTCTGATAAAGCCAACCTTAAGTATATAAAAATAAGGTATTTAATCAAGCTCTTATTTTCAGTAAATTATGAACAAGTAAAAAATTATTACTGACAACACCTGCCTGCCTCTGCTTCTGAATCAGTTCCAGACATCAAATGTACAGATGCAGCTGCAGTTGAATGCAACAGATTTCTCTTTCCAAATTCATTTAGTGTTTAAGATATCTCAGACTCTCAGCTGTAGTGTTACTGCCTGTATCAATGCCAAGAACAGCTGATGCGAAGATGCTGATAAACTCTTTTATGTTGCTATGAAGTGTGATCAATTTATCACAATTCTTGCGACACTTTTTCACATAAGAATGTATTTTAATTGTGCTAGCAATATGAAACTCTATTTCTTCATCTGTCAGTAGAATCTACAATGTAGGTACTTGCAAGTTAAAAGAATAATAGAATTATTAAGAACATGTAAATCTCCCAGGACAGTAAGTTTGCTACAGCCCAGGCAATCCATCTTACTCACTCATGTTGAATCGCATGTCACTGGGCATAACCGTTGTTCACATGACATTTGCTACGCGATAACACGTGCCCATGTGTCTCAAGCATTCCAAAAAATCAAATGGATATCGACATGCACAGCAGACATGCACGGCAGACTCCTCTCCTCCCCCAACCAGGAGTCGGCCCAAGCGACTAGTTAACTGCAAGTATACATATATAGGACAGGTACATGTACTGTATAACTAGAACATTTAGAATGTCAAAATTTGGCAAATTGACTCTAAAGGCAATTAAATTTAATAACAATGCATGCTCCTACAGAACCCTATCAAATTGGAGGCTAATTTTTTCAAATGGACCTCAATTTACAAATTTTTGAGCTATATTATGTAATTATAATACACAGCATGACACATAAAATGTACCTCAGATATATGGATCCCGTGGCAGGTTCACTTGACAAGTTAACAATTTCGACGTCACATTCGATTAAAGCTGTTATGAAGTACAAGAGGTACTAGAGTTTCTAATACACTTTCCTCAAAAAATTCTTCAACCAATCCTTTGAGTCAGAGGCTAGGATTCTCTACAGCTCCAATCTTACATTTTCACTCCACATCCACCACGTGGCACGTGTTCACCGTCACCGTGATTTGCTTTTTAGGATACTTCAGGATACGAGCAAACTAATAATATTAATTTGTGGGCGTGTTCATCTGTCGAAGTTAGTTTTCTCATAGGTTTTCTTAGGAATTTTCCAAGAATCATCATCTTTTCCCTCATGGCATTAATTTTTGGGGACCCAACCACTAGTAGAACAGTATGTATATGACGTAATTCTCTGCCTGGCTACAATATTGTATCCAAGATAATTTTGGAGAACAGGTGCGTGGGCGTGGGTTAATGTGCTTCATATATCTGGTTTTGTATGTTTTGTTATTATATTTATTATTATTATTTAGCAAGTTACGTTGAGAGTTGCATTATACGACGTATAGTATAGTATGCTAGACAATTATAATAAACTCATACAGTGAGACGTATAGTTCCTAATACAATCTCATTCATTTGCGTATGTGAAATGGGCCTGACCCTATCAGACACTGTATATGATAGTATGTAAAATTATATTACATTTACGTGTACTTCCTTCAAATATATTGTATTGTTTCAATATCATCTTAATGATTATTTGATTGTTGCTGTGTTGAGTTGAGTCCATTTGTAATTAAAATGAATGATGGCATAACAAAACTTGGTCAAATTGCTAAAATTGCTAAGTTATTTTAGTTGATTGCTGGTCTGCCTATACATGTATAATTATTTTGGACATTGCCATAAATTTACAGTTGCCATGCATGTACACTGTACCTGTACTGTACAGTCATCTAGTGTGTCTCAAGGTATGGGTGAAGCTCAAATCACCCCAAATTTTTATTGCATCCAAATTTTTATTGCATTTTCTAGTTTTTATGCTCTGTAGAAATTCTGAGCTTATTTTGACTTTAAATTCTAGAGTTTTGGTCCCTAATTACAGACACACTAGATGACATGTACAGTACAGGTACAGTGTACATGCATGGCAATTGTAACTTTATGGCACATGTCCAAATTATACATTATACAGTTAAGTTATCATACAAATTATACATTTAAGAATTGCATGTAGCAAATTTATGAGAAAAATCACACTATAGCCTTTTATTATTATTTTTTAAAAATGGATTTGAATTAACCCTCAATTTTCATGCTGCATGAGGTTGTGTATTAAGTTTGAGCTGATTCTAATTTTAAGAAAAAATGCTGAAATTCTGAGAAATGCCCTGTATTACATGTGTATATAATTTCTTTTACGACATTATTTTGTTAATTGATATTTATTATTTATAGTTGCATCCATCAAGTTCATATGCAGTATTAAAGGTTTCAAGTTCATTTTGTATTAAAGTGCTTGATATTAACAGTATAGAACTGATAGTGTGTCTGTATGTGGATTTCTCTCATCACTAACTGATTTATGGACTGTGGCCCAATAGTGATTATATTCTCCATAAGGTAAATGCTCACCTAATAAAATAAGGTTTACTGTATATCCTTAAATGAAAGCCGGATGCAAATAAACGCCAGGGTAGCAATATAATTGAACTATAAATACACAAATCTAGCCTTGAAGCAACTCAGATGCTTTGTAGATACTTCCTTAAGTTTCCGTACAAGTGAAATGTGTGAGGTCAGTGGTTCGTATTCCACTATGGGCCGAAGTTTTATTTTATTTTTATAAATTTTTTTGAGGTCCAAGTGCCATTTTAGGAAATAGATGCCTGGGCTATTATTTAAGGGAATTCTGTACTGTAATGAATTTTTGTTGATGTGCCATTTAGTGTGCACATACATGTACATGTAATGGTGCAAAATTTCTATTTTGATAAATGATTATAAATTTGCCAAAATTTATCCCTAGAAGCTATTATTATTAATAACTTCTTGTAGATGATGCTGATACCAAGTAGTCCTCCTGTTATATTAAGGAAGAGTTATCTATAAATAGAATAGCATTAATGGACACTAGTCACACTGCATCAAGACTGAAATTTATGCATCCTCCTATGGGACATGATCGAGCTATAGATTTCAATATACATGTACATGTATTAAGAGATCTTGTGGAACAGGTTAAAGTACTAATTAATGTACATGTACTATACATGTACATGTATGTACTATGTACTTGTCTGGTGGTGTAATATACATGTACATGTATGTATTATGTACTTGTCTGGTAATGTAATACCGAGGACTGAGATATCTGCTTGAGGTGAAGTTGAGGGAAGATATGAGGTATTGTATTACTCTACTCACCCAGACATACTGGTCACTTTTTATAGTGTGTGTATCAATTTTTATTTATTTAATTATTTGTTTATTTATTTAATAGGTACGGCATGATTTGTTAAAATGTTAAAATCATTTTATTTTGACGGTTTATTACTTCAATATGGAGAACAAAGTGTAAACTGTAAGGGATACATTTTTGTACATGTACGTAATGCATATAATATTTTAAAAATTAATACTTTTCCCAAAAACTGAAGTGCATCTGCAATGCCCCACCCTTCGTGTACTGCACATGCAATCACGTGCTGAGGCATAGTGGCCAGAGGGCTGAGGAGATCAAAGGGTGGGACAGTAACTCAATATTAAAAAGTGATCCTCTGCCTAACTACTATCAGTAAATTGTAGTTGTTAGAATGATTTCGTAATTGAGGTGACAAGGCCTGGTGCAGACTCAGTGTGATAGTCACTATGACACATCCCCAATTAAGGATATAATGCCACACCCCCAAGCTGGGTTTCGTAGCTAGTTGAAGCAGCTTGCATGCAATCTACTACTTCTGCAGGCACATGTACAACAGTATAATTACGTGTATATGCTCGAGCAAGTGCAACTATAGAAAGCTAACTGTTCCCCTTCAGGAGCCTTATATTGTGGCAAGACCACACTCTCATTCCTTTATCAGCAGGACTTCTTGTGCAGGAGTTATTGTTGTTTTAAAGGCTGTGTCTTCATGGCCAGCCTTTAACCCAATTAGAAGCCTACAGTTATTTTAATTAAATACCACACAGTGTTGCATTGTGATATAATGTCACTGTTATTATATTTTTGATGATATGATCTCATAGCATGATCTTATATCCTGGTACACAGTGCACGTGTCAACTTTCATAGAGTGCACATACATGTATGCCTACATGTACATATACATGTTAGATTACACATTGATGTTTTTCATTATGTTTTGCTTGAGTCAATGGTGTTTCCTTTGTTTTGACAACTGCAGTTAAATGTCACTCCTTATTATTTTAATGTAATGATTGGGGCGAGCCTGAGCTCGCCCCACTCTAGCTAGACTCTCAGTCACGCCCCGTCTGTCTGTCCTCGTACGTCACCCCTATTTATGCGTAGATCTAATACGATAGATAGATATGCATTACCAATGCAATTTTCAATTTTTCATTAAAAGTGGGAGCGGTCACAGTAAAATAAAAATGGCAACCAACACACTGGAAGAATTCATGAGCTTTCTAGCAGCAGTATAAGGCAGATACACTGTCCAAAGACTTCTCCAGCAGCTATAGAAGGTTTTAAATTCAATTAATAACCTATGAAGCTCGTCTTTATTGATGCAATTGCTATTAAAACTGTGAAAGTCAATCAAGCTTTTTCTCAGTCATCTTAAAATTGGATAATATTATATCTAAAGTTAAGTAAAGCATTTTTACAGACATTTATGGGCAAGAAATGTGTATGTGAAACTAGAAGACTAAAAGTTAAATAAAAATAAATGATATGAAGTGATTTTATCAGCAGCATTAAACTTTCATCATGTAAATCATGCTTGCTATGCCTAAATCATGATGCATGCTTTGAAATCATCGGGAGTAGATTATAGATGGATAGATCCAGTGCCATATAATTGCTTTGCTAGCTTAGGCTCGCCCCTTAATGTTCTACATTCTTCTAGTATTCCTATTCTTTAATCATACAGTCACTTTAGATGGTTTTAATGGAGCTCCTTATCTTATGATGCAACTTAGTGATATTCATTGACAAGAGGCCATTTTTTTTCTTTTAAACTCATTAATCTCTTTATGAGTTTAAGTTTTTTGGGGGGACTGTGCTAAGGTAAGAGTAGTCTAACAGATTATATTCTAGTCTAGCTACATTTATTATGCCCTCCAGATATACATGTCCTTCTGATAAACTATTATATCATACCATGATCTTATCCTAGTGCACATGGCGCTGATTACCACTGAGCCAATTAACATTCTTTCTAAGGAAAAGGTCATATGCAATTGTATAGCCCACTGTTATTGTTGTTCTAAAGGCTGTGTTGAGGTGTGATGTAATGTGGCTATTATCATGTTTTGATGAATTGATCTCAGCAATATCCTGTGCCACCCAAGCTGCCACCTTTCATACCCCTGCACTTCCATAGAGTGCACATTCCGGGGAAACTCACCATAGCTCTGAGCTAATCAGTGGTAGCTCATTATAAAAAGCACTACTTGCACACAAAGTTGCTTAGAATAAAATTATCTGTACAATGAAGGTCACTGGAGTTATACCAATTCTGCTTCTCTTTCTAATAAATGGTAATCTTAATGATTAAAATTATAATTACTAGTACATGTGTATGTAATATGTATCCTTCCTTCCCAGGTTACGTTAACTGTCAAAATTTTGAGTACAACAATAACGTTCATTTTGAAGATGGAAACTTCTCCTTAACTGTTGTATTTCAAGTAGAAGCAACTTATAACTCAGTAACTGGTGATGTGTGTGCTAATGGAGTCACTAATGATACTGCTAACTTAATGTGCCAGAATACATGTATGTTCCGCAATTCTTCTTATAAAGCTGTAGTGTAACCTATCCTAATGTTATTTTATACTTTTATAGCTAATCTACAAGCAGTTGGTTTTGTAACTACAGACTACTCCACCTTTGTGTTCAATTCTGTTGCTTATAGTATTGATTGTTCAAGTGGTATTGATACTTGTCCTGGTACTCAAGTTTCTAACTGTGATTCTTATGGAGGACTATTAGCAGTCAAATGTGTGATACGTAAGTTAACAACTTCCCGCTAAATTGTTAACAATTATTTCATAAAATATTTAACCATTATTTTTTCATAGCTATTCCAGAATGCTACTCACAATCGGTAGTTATGCTAAGTAATCCAGTTAATACAACCATTCCTTCTGGTGGCTATTACGTAACTGGTCATCCTGTTACCTGCAGCTCTAGTGGTAACTATGTTCCAATATGCAACAGTGTGAACATTGGGCCATTAGAAATAATAGCTATTTGTGCTTATACAATAATTGGATCAGGTTAGATTACATCACTTCCCTTGTTTTGATTGCAGCAGTAGCACTTTATATTGACTGTATTTACATGCACCATTATTTTACTAATCTTTTTATGTATGAATATAAATGTGCTGTATGTACATTAACAATTTCTCACTTCTTTTTTTAGGTGGGTTTAATGGAGCTCCTTCTGGTGTTACTGTTCCTCCTCCTACTCTACGTTCTAGTGATACTGTATCGAATCAATTTAGCTGTTCTGGTAGCACTTACAGTAATCTCAATTGTTCTGGTAATAGCATAATCAGTTCATGTCCTAATGGATATGCTACTGTCACATGTCAGAAAGGTACATAATCATATATTGCAAGCTGTCCTCTGATCAATAATGATAATGTTATTGGCCACGAAAGTGTACCACTTCATCTATAGAGCTCATGCACAGATTTAATCAATGGGGGTGGGGCTATGACTGTCTGCCATCTTGAGTGGCAAGAATGTACATGGTGAAATATTGAGAATGGAGAAAAGTCAGAATAGATTCTGCAGTTGACATTACAGGCTAATGCAAGCTAGGAGATGAAAGTATTGAGTGAAGAACTCTCTATAATATTCTATAGCCAAGCATGATATCTCGTTGGAAAATCCCAGTTTGCTAGACTGCATCTCCATTCATTCTACATGTACATGTATGTATACATTCTTCCCACCCAACATGGCGGGAATTTATAGCCACACACCCCTTGATTACATCTATGCAAGAGCTCTATATGTACTCTGACCCCCGGTGCCAATATTGAATTTGCTATGTGCAGAAATGCCCAGTGGCGGAGCTGAACCCGGGCCCACACGGGCCTAGGCCCGGGCATCAAAGCTCTGTAATGAGTTCATTAGTGCAATGTAAACAATTTCTTGCCCAAAGTTTAGATAAAGCCAACCACAAGCCTCACCAGAGTGCACACAGGTGCATATAAGCAATTAGCAAGCATTTTCAAGTAAAATACCCAAAGAAAATTAAAAAGCATCTATGGAAAAAGCTAAAAACAGGACACACCCACATCCGGGCCCGGGCATCAGTTTAGTTCCATCTCCGCCACTGGAAATGCCTACTTCATTTTTGAGGTACACTGCACATACACTTACATGTATTATCTGTTTTTGTGAAGAATTCTTATTCCTTGTCATTTTTGATGAAATGGTATGTTTTTGGCCAAATTTTGATTTCAAAAACCCTTTAAAAATTCTATTTTATCATAGTCGACTCAAAGTTCCGTTACACAACATAAGTACATGTACATGTACATGTATATGGATTGGAAAATTTTAATAAAATTTCTCCTAAAATTTTATTAAAAAATTTGAGAAAAGTTTTTTACTATAATGGCGTACAATAGTTCAATTATAAAAATTTATAAAAATTCAATTTTGATTTAATATACCAATAGGTTTTTACACAACTTAATATAAATTACTTATTTCATTTATAGTTTGTGATGAGGACTATTATGCTACTTTATTTAATAGTCAAACAGCTACCATTGATGGAATCAGTTATACCATTGGGATACCGCAGTTCTGTATAACAGGGACATATGCAAGAATATGTAATGATGGTACTAATTCTCCTGAATTGGGACTAGCTTTATGCAATAGTGCGGGATTTCTATGTAAGTTATTAATAGCTTCTTTGTTCAACCTTAATAAAATATGCATGACATCCTTGTGTTTATTTTTATTTAGTTGGTGAGCTCCTTTCTTCAAACTCAAGTCTTGCTGAGACCCTATACAGGGGCTCTCCCCAGGGGATATTGTATTTGAATAGATTCCTTTGTTCTGGTCATAATTGTCAAGGAGATTCAAGTTCAGGCTTTGCCAGTAATCCACAGTGCTTCAATGGTCAACTGGAAACTATTGTGAGATGCTCTAATATAAGTAAGACCATAATTTTTATTATATAATGTGATAGATCTTTTGTGTTAACAGAGTCTTATGCAGTTGTCATTGGAGTTACTGTCGGTGTATTGGTCGCATTTGTAGTAACAGTACTTATTGTTGTCATATTAGTAGTTGTGTTTATGGTCATCCGTAATAAAAGGACTCATAGACATGATGGTTTATTAACAATTAATGATGATATTTATATAGATTGATATTGTTTTTCTTAAAATTATTTTGAATAAATAATTTTTTATAACTTTTACTTATCTTGTCATACTGGGAGGGATTTGACTACAGTGATTTTCCAAACTATAAAAACATAGATAATAGAGACTACGTATTATCAAGAATAGGGGTTTCCCGATTATTCCGGAATAATTTTGGGAATAATAGGTAGCACTTCAATTCCAGAATAATGCTGGCCTAATAGGTGGATCAGTAGCCAAACTCTAATTAAAGAGCAGCAAATGCAAAATTTTTGAATTTTTTAATACCTGAACTAGTTGTAACTCAATTTTTGAACAAAGTTTAGATTCTAAAATTGATATAATAGAGACTTATATTTTGCAGTCTCTGCTGATAGTGATACTTTAAATAGCTTCTCAGACTTACTAATTTTCATTTTTATTGTAGTTAGCTCATGATTATAAAGAATAAAGTGAGAATAATAGGGCAGAATAAAAAGAATAATAGGCAAATTTTTGAGAATTTCTGAATAGAATTATAGGTTAAAAAAATTAGCATAATCGGGGCACCCCTAATCAAGAGTAGCCAACCACGTTCAAACACGTGGTTGAGAGGCGTGGTCTTTGACACGTGAAATGTGCCAATATCTGTGGATGTGCCATAGATATTAGAGTAAATGAAATACTATGTGTGCGTCATTGGCTTTGTTTCAGTCTTCAGTTCATCATTTGTATCTGCTGCCTCTGGAAATGATACGACGCTCCTCTGTTCCCTCTTTTGATGAGGCTGATAGTTCAGATAAGGAGCATTGTAGCTAGATTAAGAGGAGATGAATTTGGTCAAAGCCTAGTCCCTCCTATTTATGAGATAGTGAAGAGCGAGATGAAGAGAACCCTACAAGAGTTTTCCAGTGGTCAGATATTTAAGGTAATAGTAATGTAATTTTGGCTGCTCCACTTGTGATGTCAGTATTATCAAGAGTACATAAATACCTAAATTGTATAAACCTCTTGAGGTGAGATTGACAGGGTGGCCTATGAATATCATTACTATCTTTACGGTATCCACCGACGCATGATGATTGGCTGCCATTTTGGACGGCAAGACCCAATTGAGGGTAAATGGAGAACAATCATAACTGATTTTTTGTTAGCATGGAGCTTTTTTGAGCTACAAAAGCTGGTTGCAGGAAAGAATGGGTGCTGCTATGCATCTCCTAAAAGGAATTTGGTGCAATATGAAGCATATTCTTTATTACGGCTTGCTTTCTGCATTAGCCCATTCATACTCCATGGAAAGTTGCCGTCCATGAAAATTATTTCAGGCTCAGTCATGCCCGCTGCTGTATATCATTCTTTGACATAATTCATTCTCACCCAAAGAGGTCTATTATGTACACTTAGTATTCCTGCCAGTTTTCCTTTAGAGAAAAGTGTCAAATTTGTTTCATATAATTTTACTTCATATGGTATTCTACAAAATGATTCTAATAAAAAGGATTTTGATTCTTGACTGACAATAATATGTAGTTTCTTCCCAAGAATTGTATAGACCACCCTAGGTGTGAATTGGAAAAGATATGATTAAAAAAAAATTTATATACAATATCCACCCACACTTCATAATTGGCTGCCATTGAGTGTGGCAAGTTTGTTATGGAATTAAATGGAAGACAAAGAAAATCCCTCACTTACCTACTGTAGCTTAGCTTAAAGGTGCTTGTAATAAAGAAAAGCTTCTCCTGTCTTTCAAGGATTTTGTCAAATTTGCTGCAGAATTTTTAGTATAGGTTTATTTTTATGTCTGCCCATTTGTTCTCCATTGAAAGTTGCCAATCAAATTGGCGGCCAGAATTAATTTTATCCTAAACCATGCCTCACAAGTCACAACTGTAAAATTTTAATATTCTTCCTACTATACATTCAATTCTTGCTTAGAGTTGTCTATACGGATATGTCATAATTTTAATATAATAATTAATCATAAATTATTTAATAACTGACATTATTTTAGTATTTTTTACTACTTATTTGTTGAGTTGAGTCCATTCATTTATACATGTAGTTAACATGAACGATAGCATATCAAAACTTGGTCAAATTGCTAAATTACATGTATTTTTGTTGTTTGCTGGTCGTCATGTATAATTTGGAGTGTGCCATAAATTTACAATTCCCATTCATGTACACTGTATCTTAAAGTGTGAGTGAAGCTAAAATCACCCCGAATTTTTGTTGTGTCCCAGTTTTTATTGCATTTTCTTACCTTTGTAGAAATTCTGAGCTGATTTCAACTTAAACTTTTAGAGTTAGGGCCATTTAAAGAAGTACATGTACATGTAGCAAATTTATGAGAAAAAAAAAAGGCTATAGCTTTTTAGTTTTTTTTGGAAAGTGGCCCCAACTTTTATGATGCATAATGTTGTGTAGAAGTTTGAGCTAATTCTCATTTTAAGAAAAAATGTGAAATTTTGAGAAATGCCCCTGCACTACATGTGTATATAATCCTTTCTTTTAAGACATTATTTGGTTAATTATTGATATTTAGTTGTCCATGAAAAAACTAAGTTTCAACTACTAGCCACTCCTACTGCCATTAAGTATCGTAGAAATACAGATTTATACTGACCTGCCTCAGTGGCTCGTACTGTTGCTAATGTTAGTGACTTCCTTATATGCTCCATGTCATTATGACTGCACCCACTTTTAATGAAGATTAGACTATTTAACTGTAGTAATAGTTAGACAACCCTATGCATATTTAATGTAGTGATTTTTTGTCGATTTGCCCAAGGTTTAATGTGAATTTTTGTTTATGTGCTATTGAGTGTGCACATACATGTAATTGTTTAAAATGTCGGATTTTTTCAAAGTTCCTAAATTTTTTCTTACGAACTATTATTATTAATAATTTCTTATAGATGGTGCTGATACCCAGTGGTCCTCCTGTTATATTAAGGAAGAGTTGTCTGGTAATGTAAACCTGAGGACTGAGATATCTGCTTGAGGTGAAGCTAAGGGAAGATGTCATGTACTGCATTACTAAAGAAAATAAAAATTTTTTAAAAAACTTTTAATAATTTTCCCAAAAGTGACATGCACCACCTTTTGTGTATTGCGCATGCCATATAGGAAGCTACGGTGTGGCTGTTCCCTTCACGACCACACTATTGGGGTTAAGCCACACATTGTAGGTGTCTCCAATGTTCCTTTATCAGCAGGCCCAGACTTCTTTGGAGGAGTTATTGTTGTTTTAAAGGCTGTGTTTTTGCCAGCCCTTAACCCAATTAGAAGCCTACAGAAATTTTTTAATTAAATACCAAACAGTGTTGCATTGTGATATAATGTGGCTATTATCATATTTTTGATGAATTGATGTCATTGCATGATCTTATATCCTAGTACAGAGTGCACGTGTCAACTTTCTTAGAGTGCACATACTTGTACTGTATTTCTAATGAAAAGGCTACAGGAAACTCCCCAGAGCTATGAGCTAATCAGTGGTAGCCTGTTATAAAAGCATGCAGGATTTCTAACTTACTGCATGCAAACAGTTACTCAGAGTAGAACCATCAGTACAATGAAGGCCACTGGGGTTGTACCAATACTGCTTCTCCTGCTAAATGGTAAGCTTATAATGACTTTTAAAGTAATAATCCCTTCTTTCCCAGGTTTTGCTAACTGTCAGAATTTTGACTATGACAATGTCATTGATTATGAAAATGACAACATTACCTTAACTGTTGTATTTCAAGTAGAAGCAACTTATAACTCAGTAACTGGTGATGTGTGTGCTAATGGAGTCACTAATGATACTGCTAACTTAATGTGCCAGAATATATTCCACGATCCTACTCGTAAAGCTATAGTGTAACCTATCTTAATGTTAATTTATACTTTTATAGCTAATCTACAAGCAACTGGTTTCCTAACCACAGATTACTCCACCTTCATGTTCAATTCTGTTGCTTATAGTGTTGATTGTTCAAGTGGTATTGACACTTGTCCTGGTACTCAAGTTTCTAACTGTGATTCTTATGGAGGACTATTAGCAGTCAAATGTGTGATACGTAAGTTAACAACTTCCCGCTTTGGTGTAAAAAATATAATTTAATCCTTTATTATACTTTATTATCATGTACATCTAGCATCCAACTTCCTGCTACATTGTTACATGATTTCTAATCTTCTTGATGAAGTGATTTATAATTAACTATACTTATATTTTATAGCTATACCAGAATGCTACTCACAATCGATAGCGATGCTAAGCAATCCAGTTAATACATCCATTCCTTCTGGTGGCTATTACGTAACTGGTCATCCTGTTACCTGCAGCTCTAGTGGTAACTATGTTCCAATATGCAACAGTGTAAACATT